AGAAGCTTAAAACCAGCTTCTGATATGATCTTATCCACAGATATCTTTCCCAGACCAATATTTGCTTTTTTGGTAATGTCGCGTAACGCTAAATGAGGCTCGGCATTGATGATGGACTCCACTATCTTTCTTTTTTGAGGGGTAATTGTTGTTAGTCTTCCAGATCTGGGGGCATCATTGGTATTTCCATCTCTTAATTCAGCTCTTTTGACTACTGATTGAACAGTTGCCTTAGAGATACCCATAACCTTAGAAATTTTATTATACCCCATATCATTATGTTTACACAGGGCATAGATTTCGTGATTTTGGTCTTCTCTAGCTCTTATGGTATGTGAGGGGGTCATGGTAGAGGCGGTTGTTGTGGGGATGGAGGACAACACCGTTGCCGCACCAGGGTATGAAGACTTTACTGATACGACTGTACCATAGTTGGCAGTTGGCTTGCTCTACCAGAGCGGAGGCGAGAGCTGAGAACTAAAGAAGGATTCTGAGGTGTACACGAAAAACTAAAGAGTAATGATTCAACGAAGCATTTTGAAATACTGTCTGTCAAAGTCTTCCTCTTCCATCATGGAATCAGGCTGTCTTTAGATACCCAAATCTGTTCATGTCTAGCATGAATGAAACTATTCAAAGGTATCAAATGATACACTTTGGTAAAACAACTTAAGTATCAAATGATACTTAAAACAAAACATAAAACAAAACTAAGTATCAAACAATACTTAAAACAAACCAAGTATCAAAGCGATATTTAAATCAAAACATAAAACAAAACCAACTATCAAAGCAATACGGAAAACAAAACATGAAACAAAACAAATAACCGATTAGCAGTCCAGTTCCAGGTATATTACTCGTCTGAGTATTCGCGGACTACATCTCTCTCACAAACAAATTATGTACCTCCCAAGTTATAACTCACAATGTCGGGTATTCTCCCGATGTGCAAACATCAGGAGACCCTGCAAATCATCACATCCTGTACTGTAATTACTATTTTATCTATGAGAAAACCATATAGTCCTCAATCGTGATGATCCAATCTTCTGAGTTCTCTGACCTATGGCCTGCTTGTCAAATTGAACAATGCTGGCTCCAAGTATCTCTCCTATCAATACAACGATCTGTTTCACGTATGCAGTGACTCAACAGAAGTAATTTTCTTATAAGAAGCCTTTCTAGGTCCTGGACGTTAAAAAACTTATAACTTCTGTTCCCACTAACAGATATCTTCTGGATAACTTTTTGCTAATTTGCAGGATGCTATTCTATCTGTTTGACAGATAATCCCTCAATTGGCAATGGCTCATTGTCCTATATAACAGGGCGTGGAGGGTTGTTTGGCATTCGTGATAATTCCTCCAACCATGACATATTCTGTGACCTAGTTACAATACTCCAACAAGTCAATTATTGGCTTCTTCAGTGGTGCTTCCTTGGAGCTCTAGACTCTTCTAATTGTGGTAGGCTAGATGAGAATGTCTTGGTTCTTTGTAGAGATTCTCAAATATTCAATGTCATATCTCTCTGCAAAAATGTCCTGTTATCTATGGCTCATATCAAAGATGTCCCATCTTTGAAGCCTTGTAACTCTCTGGGTAGATGACAGATTTACTAAGCTCTACTTTTCAAAACTAGCCAAAAGTACCTTCTCATATATTTTGGGAACAATATCCACTTAGATAAAGGGTAGTGATGTATATGGTGTTATTCTGTCACCTTCAAATCTGTAGCATTGTAGTCACAGGACACAACTAAGATAGATAGGTATGATGATGTATTGGCCCCATAAGGTGGCAGGAGGTAGGTATTGGAGACCTCAGATTTCAATTCTGATTGTAGTCACTCTACCTAGGAAGGTGCCTAGGTACTGGATCCCAGTAAGGATCTCTCTTTGAGTAGTTAGTTCTTGGTGACAGTCAACAATACTTCTCTTCCTCTTCTTCTGCCATATATGATCTCTGAGGCCTATGCCTTCATTACGGATAGTACAAGACCTTTGTCTTCTATCAGTATCATCTATTGTAAGCTTTCTCTAACTCTATCTTTAATAGAGCCTTCTTGTCATAGTTGTAATAATGGTGGTGATGATGATAAAAAGCACAAAGGTATTTTATATTTATTAAAGTAATAAGTGGGAAAACTACTTAGACAAAAGTATGAAGAACCTATACACCGCGGCCGTACCAGCCTCCATATTTAGTGTTCTTTCTCCTACAAGTCATGTGACTTAAAGTGGTCACATGCACAAAGCCAAATCATAACAAACTACTCAGATGACTGAAGTGGTCACATGTGCAAAACCTCTGACCTCATAGCAAGGTCATGTGCAAAAACTCATAAACCAATCATAACATAATAAACAAGTCATATGACCCAAAGTTGTCAATTGCATGAAACCCATGACTATCTAACATGGTCATGTGTGAAACACAAATTGTATGTCCAAGGCATACCCAGAAGGCATACTTGCAAGGCACACTTGCCAGGCGCACGTCCCATGACTCATAACTGAGTCATGTGCAAAATATAACAAATCATAACCTAAACAAGTCATATGACCAAAGC